AAGTTTGTGATCTCAATATTATTTTATTATTACATTAATATAGAACAAGGTTCAGGTAGCATTGCACAAAAACAGCTGGCAGAAACATCATCCAGAGAGCAACTTTTTACTTTCTTCATTTCAGTGACTGTACTTTTTCACTACTTCAACTTCTACTGGAGTATTTTTCAACACTAGTGTCTGTACTTCTACCCAAGTAGAGAATGTCTGTACTTTCCCACCTCTGGGCAGATGTGACACAACCACCCAACTGCTGCAAGGTAGAGCCCCCTCATCGCCAAAAGCCTCAGTGTCTAACTTGCAGTTTATATCTCTATCACTAAGTCTTTATCTCCTTTGCTATCACTAACTCTATCTCTGTCCCTATCTTATCTACGTCTCTATCACAAACAGTATCTCTATTTTTATCTTCATTTCTGTTGTTATCTATATCTGCCATCAGTGAGGTTTACAGAAGAAACAAAACAATTGAGTGGCAGCTCTCTGGGTGAAAAATGTGCTTTTGATGCCAGAGGCAAGCTATCATCATCAATATGAACCAGCAGCTTGTTGAATCTATGCCATGTTGTATTGAAGTAGTTCTGAAAGCAAAACTCAGTCCAGTGATAACAAGGTGTCTTTACTAAAGTGTCCTGAGATATACAGCGGTAATGTATAACAATGGAATCAAGAAGATGAAGGAACAAATAAAGAAAGAAATGATAATAATAATAAGCATTGTGACGCGCTAAAAACTAGCAGTCATCTTGTGAAGGTGTGAATTTGGGTCACCAAAAGCTGTCTTGCACTTTGAAGTATTATCTAGCTGTCTAGATTTTAAGCAGACTCCTGATAAAGATCTCACTTGAGGACGTACAGGAAGTGAAATCTGCTTTTCTACTGTGCTCCTCATTATAAGACTGCTGACTTTAAGACAGTTAGTTTATCTCTGAACATCTAAAGGGATCACATCAATAAAAAAATCAAAAAAAGAGTTCCTGACTTGACGTGTTTGGAAGATACAACACTGAGATATCACCATGTCAGGTGAATACATTTTAATAGTAATGCAGAATTTAGTATATTTAAAGTGTAATATCTTTCAGAGTTCTTAAAAATATTTTTTTAATAATGTGTAACGTTCACAGCTGTACGAGTTGCCGCAGGGATTCAAAACCAAATGCTATAATTGAAATTATATCACAATTAGTTCATGATTGCTATTTCTAAATTTAGTCTACACGTTTGTTTTTTATTTTAGTCTACTGTGTTTGAAGATAATTTTTGAAATTATTCAAAAGATATGGATTGCCACAATGTCTTGTGGTTGACCTTTATATCTACAATCATCTCACCCACAAACATGTATTTTTTTAAGGTAGACAATAGAGTTGTACAATGATAATTATGTTAAATAATATCACTATGACCAAAACATACTAGCGTGAAAAATAATCATTAACAAACAGGCCAAATTGAATAGTAACGTTTATTACGCCTGCTGAAATGAGCAGGTTTATGATTGCACAAGCTGACGCTGGGTTTATGGGTTTAAAGCCTTTTATGACCTTTCTTCAGAATAGTTACAGGTTTAAATCATAGCCAAGGAGACTTAAATCCTGCTTTAATACAGGAGCGTCACATTATGGATTGATGTGAAGTGGTGAGAACTTTCCTAAGCAGGGAGTACCTGTGACAACCAAAAGGTGGCAATCAATTATCAACTGGCTGGGGGCCAAAAGCCCAATGCAGCAGAGCTGAATGGAGTAGCATTTGTGGTGCTCATGGTTAAGGAAATTTCCCTTTTCAAACAGCAACATGTCGGCAAGAATACTACCGCTACTACTTTAACTAGCACGTTCTTCTTCTGTCCCAATAAAAACGGATGAAGCAGCAATACTATTTAATTTTCTATTCACCTTCCTCAGGAGACAAAAAGCAAAAA